TTTATTATTTTTATTTATAACAGTATGAAACTAGACATTTCCATGATCCGTTATTTGAATTTTATTACAAAGTAGGATGAAGCTACTTTTATTCATTATATTTATGAGATTTTTGAACCTATTTATGGTGATTGTTATTTTACAAGATGATGATGCTTAGTTTATTATTTTTATTTATAACAGTATGAAACTAGACATTTCCATGACCCGTTATTTGAATTTTATTACAAAGTAGGATGAAGCTACTTTTATACATTATATTTATGAGATTTTTGAACCCGTGTAATCCCTAACCTGTGTGATTTGCTAAGATGGTGCAATTATTATTATTTTAATTAATTTCTTCGTGAACACGGCTTCTTTATTTATAATTCTGGTAACAATGTGTTCCTTACAGATGGACACACTTGAAAACAAGATTTTGTATTTTCGTAAATTCAAGAACGTGATCAAAGCAGATATTTAAGACATATTCTGCATCTTTGCAAATGTCTACTGTTGGAGGGCTTATAATTCAAGAATTCGGGGTTTCATTATTGTGGCATGGTGTGGCCTAGAGGTTAAAGTTCCGGACTGTGAACCCACGGGTCTATAGTTCGCCTCCAGTTGCCATTAGTGCGTTATAAGAATGACAGTTAAATCCACCTCTTTGAATAGAGTAGCCCAAGAGTTGGCGGTGGGTGCTGATGACTAGCTGCTTTCACTCTATCCTATCAGTTCAAAAATAGGAACAGCTAGTATAGATAATCCTTGTCTAGTTAATATAAAATACAATATAAAATATTTTTATTAAATATTACTCCGTGCTGCCTTGCGGGCTAAGATTTCTGAACAAAAGGCCAAGGGAGACAACCTTCACAGAAAACCCCCTGCCAGGGTTATGGTGAAACTGTTGGGCGGCAGCAATGGTGGATTCTACTCAGTTCCTTGGCAGGGACACCAACCGGTGCACTAGCTCTGTTATGGACTTTGACACAAGGTGACTAGTCTCGTAAGTATGTAGTTGCCAAAACTTGGACAGGTGCAGTTATCGGATATAAGGAGGAGCCAATGATATTAAGTTCTTGAGTGTTGTTAGCTGTGAAGAGGATGATGTTGATTTATCAAAAAGATTTAGATCATTTAGTGAGTTGGGCAAATAAATGGCAGATTGGTTTTGATTATAATAAATGCAAGATAATATATGTGGGCTATCATAATTTGAATTATAAGTATAATTTGGATGAGAATACATTTAACAGTGTAATGGAAGAAAGAGATCTTGGTGTAATAGTTGATCAGTCTCTTAAGCAATCCAAGCAGTGTGCTGTTGCTAGTGGTAGGGCAAATAGTATTTTAGGTTGTATCTACAGAAATCTTGCATACAAGTCTAAAGAGATTATGATTTTATTGTATAAGTCACTGGTTAGGCCACATTTGGAGGATTGTGCTCAGTCTTGGGCTCTTTACCTTAGGAAGGATACTGAATTGTTGGAAAGGATTCAAAGGAGGGTTACTAGAATGGTGTCTGGAATGGAAGATTTGCCATATGAGGAGAGATTAAGATTTCTAAAGTTGTTTTCTTTTCAACAAAGAAGAGTTAGGTGGGATCTGATTTGAGGTGTTTAAGATTGTAAAGGGAATTGAAAGTGTTGATGCATCATCTTTTTTATACTTAACGGCGAGAATAGTAGGACTAGGGGACACAAATATAACTTTTGGCAGGGTAGGAGTCATCTTCAGCTAAAATAATGTTATTTTTTAACAGGATAGGTGGCTTTTGAATGAGTTGCCTTCAGATGTTGTGGAGACTGTAAATTTAAGTAAGTTTAAAAGAAAGCTTGAATGATATGAATGATAAGGGCTGACTTTAATATATTTTTAGACATATTTATTTTTTGTTATTTTTTTCAATTAATTTATTTAATAGTTTTATTTTAGTTCAGAGGATGAGTTGATTGTTTTGTAGTTAGACACAAAGCTGCACAAAGGGCTATCTGTGCTCTGCCCACCACGGGTCTCGAAACCCGGTTTCTAGCGGTATAATTCCACAGACATACTGCTGTGCCGCTAGGGGGCTCATAAGATGAGACAGTCGAGATGAGCCAATAGGTTTCTTAGTGTCCATAAACATTATGTTATGTTATTTCGGTCTGAAAGTTACTTCACTAGAAGCATCTGTTAACGGTGGGAGGCCAGTAGGATTTCTGGTAACCAATGGCTGACTTGTTTTTCAAGGGTCTGAAGAGATTGTATAAAAAGTGAATGGTTGAACAGAAAACCCTAGACAACAAAAAAGAAAGTAATCTAAAGAGAGTGTCTACACTCAATATATCTACTTTGACAGGGAAAAGGATGGAAGTGGCGGAAATGATGAACCGGAGTCGTCTGGATGTTCTTTGCGTCCAAGAGATAGAAGGTAAAGGTGACTAGAGAACTTGGTCTTGATTGCAAACTTTATTATGTTGGAAGAGAAGATACGAGTAATTCTATTGCAGAATCCTCTGAGATTTCGGCACACTAGAGAATGGAACACAAGCCATATTCTAACAGCAAGAATATCACCAGAATCATCCAAAATTCAATCTTTAGTAATATTCCAGATTGAAAATATAATGTTGATGGATTTCAATTGGTTAAAATATCAGACAGGTATGTTGGTTGAATGGATCCATAACTAGGAGGCTACGACCATTACTCGCACCCAGATAACTGTGCTGCCACTATTGCTGTTTCCTTAGCAAAGAACACCATGCTTTCAGAAAAGAAAACAAGGTCTTATACATATACAATGACCCATATCCTTTCTTTTGACCATTACAAATATCAACCTCTCCAATGTTACTTTTTGGAGGTCTTCTCTCATTTACAAGTGTTGTACTAGTTGTGTGAGTTTTCAAAGTTTTGTCCCAAGGGTGATATTTTTACATTCACTTAGTATTCTTACGTCCTGCATTTTCATGCATCGGAAGCTGCTTCTTGCAATGAGTCAACAGTAAGGAAGTATTCAAAAAACTGTGTGATTTGATAAATATTTCAGTCTACGTGACTTAAGATATTCCATCACAACCACATAAACCACTGGGTACACCAAATGAAATTTATTATTATGTTTAAACTATGTTTATGAATTTCGTATACTACTTAAAGTTCTCCACTTAAATATTTTGGTTCGAATCAACCAAAATTTCTTGCACTATTCTAACTAGCAAAACCACAGGTGAAACTGCAGTTTTTCCAAAAGTAGCATGAGTCTTACTGTTTCATTCATTTTTCCATGAACATTCACTTCCTTCTGAATATTCCAATGTCAAAATTTAAACATTCTCTCTCCAGTGTAAATGAAAGTAGCACATATTTTCAAATAACACCACAAAGGCCAGTAATCACAGTTAATAACTTTATGTCACTAAATCTTAACAACAGGATCAAGTTATTTATTTCCATTCTGTAGTAGTTTGATTATAGCATTTCTTATGTCATTAACTTATTTGTACTAAATAATGCAAATGACATTCTTGCAACACAAGTTGAAAACTATTTCTTGTCAATTAATATTGTCATTAAAGTATATCTTCTTGCATTCATAACTGATCATACAAGTGCCATAAGTTGTGTGTTTTCATGCTACATTCTGCACTCTGTGTCACAAGTAATGCCTATGCTTAAGGTACTCTTCCCAGAGCTTTTTAAATATTAGTTGTGGCATTCATACATTAGTGGTACCTCTTACTGTATGGTTGGCGATTATAACAGAAATGGTCTTAACTCCTACACAGTGACCAAGATCTGAGCATTCAAAGAATGGAGAGGATCTCACTGTTTGGTGAGATAAGCCATCTGCATTTCCATGATGTGGGTCTGAGTGATAACACTATTACATTCAGACACCAGATCTAAGGTATTGGACCAAGGTGCCTGTTTCAGTGTATTGAAATTTGTCTGTTCATGGTGGTGTAAAAGCATCAATTCAAGATACGGTTCACAAACCAAAACAGAATCTGGGAGTACCTACTTTATTTTAGATACCAACAATCGGAAACAAACACATACTTTCTGAAGACTGTATAATTTTATACTTTAACATTGGTTGTATTGTTGTATCGGTGACAGGATTCGAACCCACGATCCGCAGATTGCGAGTCGAGCGCCCTCATCACCACGCCATGCCAGACCGTCTCAAATGCAGACTTATAGAGCATTCACCTATGTAATATCACACCTATTTCAAACTAACGTGCATGTTTAGCTTAGGTGTTATATACCATAAAACCAGGTTTATCAATAATATTCAAATTATAGTGTTTTTTGCTTTCTTGTATACAGGACTTCCTGGACAAAAAGGATCGAAGGGTGACCCAGTAAGTACATGTTATATGTGATTCACTTGAATATTTGTGTTATAAAATATTTCACTTGATAACCAATGCCTCGAATTTTTGCTTCTGAAAATTTTGTAATCTGCAATATTATAAATAACCAAACATTTTTACTCGCCAAGTGACATAAAGGACACATTGATGAATAAAAAAAATCACCATAGTGTAAGATTTAAAATATATATATATATATAATTTTTGTCGTTTAGTAAGATAAAACGTTTACTTTTATGTGAAAAAATAACCATTCAATGTTCAGGGAGAGTAATAAAGAACAATGAGCTGAAACAAAACTGATTTAGATATTGTTATGAAAAAACACATCAGCAATTCTGGCTAGCAAATTATTGTTTAGTTTTTTAAAGTGTATTAAACAGAATATCTATTACAAATAAAAAAAGTTAAAAAGTAAAAAACACCTAAAAGCTTTCCATAACCATAAGTTAAATAAGTATAATCTTCAGATGCAATATCTATCTACATTGAAGCAGCTTAACCAGACTTTGATTCAGAATCGAAGCCACTAAATATTTGTGGCAGATCAATTATATATTTTGTTTAATTTCAGGTTACACCGCATATAATTTTACATAATAACACAGTTTTATAGTTTTATCAATGCTTCCGTTTAATCAACACAAAATATATTATTAAGATATTCGAACGATCTTTCATCCTGGTTGCACACTGATTGGCTACGTCATCAGGACCTCACTTCCCCCCATGTATTTGTGAACACTCCACTTAGATCTTGTAACGTGTGAGATCATCGTTTAAACCATATATAAAGATATAATGTCACACCATAGTTAGTCTGTGATATAGTGAATAAGAGGTAGAATCTCTTCAATTTTTAATGGGGCACAATAATAGGTGTCTGTCAAGCAGGAGCATCATTCACGAAGGCCATTTCCGTGAACGTGTGTTCAAATACGTCTTTAATTAGAGACTATTAACAGTGGCGATAGAGATGAAACATTTCTGCCACTAGGAAAACTGTGATTACAATCTGTTGGTGGCTGACTGAATGAAAAGACAATCGGTTAGGCTTATAAAGTACAACAGGTATCAGAGTGTGTCCAAATTGACCATTTCTTTCGACCTTACCACGTGAAAGATTTTACAAAAACTATATGGCCTTCGACAATCACTGCTAAAACTGCTTTCCAATAGCAAGGCGCGGCTTCAGTTGTGTTTAAGAGTACAGACTGTGGACCCTGAGTGCTTTGAAGCGTGTGATCTTATCTGGTGAGAAGCTTCTCGCCCTTTTCTGTATTGCTATCAGTATGAATATGGATAAAACAACATTGGGCTCTTAACCCACTTGCGTAGTTCTAGCATTTCAAGCTATTGGAGGTGGTTTAATGGCATGAGTGTCGTCGTGGTAGCAGTGGCTGGGCCCTTTGATTCCTTTTAAAGAGCGAACAATACCAAGAGTTGTACAGTGAAGGATACTGTACATAAAATCTAATGCAACTTATTAGCCATCTACGTGCGATGTAGAAAACTATTGTCACGTATGTGTACAATGTTATACAATAAATTAGATAACATTTCTCGGTGGTGCACTTTTAGAACGTCTTGTCATGTAAACATTACTTGTCTACCTAAATTTTATATTTTGTATATATATATTTCTCTAGTACCTTCAGTTTTTTCGTACTTAGACAAGAAAGTAATAGGTATTTCAGTTTTGTCAGGTATGTAATTATTAGTAAGGGTATTCATGCTGTTAGCCTATGTTTTACTATTTCAGGTTTTCTCGTTGTATTAAAACATGTATATTAACTTTCGTAATAAAGTAATTTATTTAAGTGTAACCTCAACTGAGTTTTTACCTGCTCATCACTTTCAGTTACTTGGCATCAGGGAGATAGATCGAATAATCCTGACCATCGCCGACGAGATTTGTCCAACTTATTGTTAAACAACAAACTATGTGCTCATCTTTTGAATCCGAACAGTTCATGTTTGATACTAAAATGGATGTTACTCATGTCATTAGGAAACTTTAGGTTATTTAGATTAGAAAAATATGTGTTCATTTTAATTTTGGAATTAGCGTTTTAAATGTAATAAACAGATTTTAAACAGTTTTGTATGTTTTACTAGTATTAAGCATCAATAAAGCTTCTTTATAATGTCTGAAAAGGTTTTGAAACAGCCTAGTTAGTAGTCTGCCTTTTAGTGTATATTTTAATCAGATATAAGATGTTATATTGTAAACAACAAACACTTTAAATATTGGACAAATCCTGGTTAATTCTGATGAAAGTGATGTTTTTCTCAAAAAATCACTCAAATTCCATTGACAAAATAGTGTGAATTATAACATATAAATCAGGTAACAATGATATATTTCAAATAAATCACGGAAAACAATGGTATATTTCAGTTAAGTCATGTAACAAGGCCCCCCCCCCCCAGTGGCACAGCGGTATGTCTACGGACTTACAACACTAAAAACCGAGTTGCGATACCCATGGTGGGCAGAGCACAGATAGCCCATTGTGTGTAGCTTTGTGCATAAATTTGAACAAACAACCGTGTAACAAGCAATCTTACATTTAAAAAGCTTTAAACTTTAAAGCTTTCATCTCAATTCAAGATATTATATTTATTTCGTCTTTCACGGCTTTCTTTACAAAACGACCAAGAGAAACAAGTTATTAGCTGTTACAATTAATCTAAATACAAATCTGTCACTGAACCAATAGATTGGTTTACTTACATGCGTGATCCTAAAACAAATAAAAATGAAATAGAATATAACTCAACAGCTGAATCGATATTTGCTACGTCGTATTGATCCTTATGAGAAGTTCCTATTTTATTTTCCTAACTGTATAATTTGATAACTTATTAGCTTTCATTAGATAACAAAATACATTATTTAAAAACACATTAGTTTACATCAGGTAATAAATCCATTTTAAGAAAAACATTATCTTACATTAGGTATAACTTTATATTCTTCCGAAAACGCATTTTCTTACATTAAAGTATAAATCCATTCTTATAAAAACGAATTAGCTTACATTAGGTAATAAATCCATTCTTATGAAATGTATTAGCTTACACTTGATAATATATTAATTTTTACGAAAACGTATTACCTGCGACAAAAACAACCTGCAGGACACACTGTGTGTTAACAGGAGTGATAGTTTAGCAATTTTCTACTTTCTTTAGCTCGGACTATGGTAATCCAAATTATCACATATTTTCGGTGGATGTGCTCTACTGGACTCTTACGTCACATACCAAGTTTCAAGGCAATCCATTGAGAAATACACAGGCTATAATATCTCCAATTTTGATTGAATTTCTTCCTTATTTTTATTCCCAGAAAGTACGGAAACTTTATTTCATAGAAAAACATACTTAACTTTCATGGAATATTTTTTTACAAATCTGGTACACTGATAGATCTTTACAACCTACAATTAGGTGTCAAAGTTATTCAATAAAAACTGCTCCATTTTGACCAAAATTTTACTCGTGCCTACGCAAGAAGTGAGCTAACATTTTTACTACAACTTCACATAAGAGTAAAGGTGGACCGTTTTTAGTTTTTTGTCATTCGGATTAAAGACGGCTGATTTAAAGCAGTAAAACTATAGGGTGGAAGCACGTGCAGATACCGTATATTACGTAAGAAACCCCTTTCTAGGTAAAGACAACAGCTTAAATTAAGTAATAAATCCATTCTTACGATAACGCATTAGATTACGTCACGTAATAAATACATTCTTATCTAACAACATTAGGGTATCGAAACTGGGTTTCTATCGTTGTAAGTACGCAGACATACCGTTGTGACACTAGGGGGCACGTTAGATAAGAAATACATTCTTACGAAAACACATTAGCATCCATTAAGAAATAAACTAATTTTTACGGAAACGCATCACTTTAGATTAGGTAATAAATGCATTCTTATAATAAGTATTAACCTGTATTAGATAATACAACCATTCTTATGCAACCACATTAACTTAGATTGGCTAATAAATTAATTCTTTCAAAAACGCATTAGCTTTCATTAGGTTATAAACCCAGTCTTATGGAAACGCATAAGCTTACATTACATAATAAATCCATTCCTCTGAAAACACCTTACGGGATATTAGGTAATAAATATATTTTTCAGAAAAGAAATAAGCTTACATTAGATAGTTTTATTCAAACGCTTTAGCTTACAGTAGGTAACAAATTTATTCTTGTTGAAACGATTTGGTTTATATTAGGTAACAAAACGCATTAGCTTAAATTAGGCAATAAATATATTCTTATGAAAACACACTATCTTTCATTAAGTAATATATTCCTTCTTAGTTTACATTAGATAATAAGTCCATTTTGATGGAAATGCATTAGATTCCTTTAAGTAATAAATCCATTCTTATATAATTACATTAAATAACAAATTCATTCTTACATAAAATCATTAACTTAGATTGGATAATAAGTTCATTGTTACGAAAAGTCATTAGCTTACATTATGTAATAAATACGTTCTTATGATAAACGTATTAGCTGAAGGCCACATTAGCAACTGTAGTGCGGTTGAAATAGTATAACGTTTTCTCCCGTTCTTTAACTCTTAATTTTTTATAATTACATAAGGTAACAAAACTTAATTGCAATGTAAACGCATTATCTTAGATTATGGAAAAAATCCATTCCTAAACCATTTTTAGATATCCCAAATGACAAAACTAAGTTGAAAGTATGAGAGAAATACACCAAACATAAAAAACTCGCAGTATCTATTGGATTTGTATGTTTTTCTTGAATTTCGCGTAAAGCTACTCATAGGCTATCTGCTTTAGCCACGTTTAATTTTGAAGTGATAGTTTAGAAGGAAAGCCTTACGGACTAACTTTTTTGAATCGAAGGCTAAGGGATACAGTCTTGACAGAAAAAACCCCTTTCAGAGTAATGGTGAAACCGTTGGGACTAACTTTTTTGAATCGAAGGCTAAGGGATACAGTCTTGACAGAAATAACCCCTTTCAGAGTAATGGTGAAACCGTTGGGCAGCAGCAATGGTTGATTCTATTCAGTTCCTTGGAGCTGATACGGTGGTGCACGGCAGGGACACTAGCTCTATTATGGGCTTTGGTGCAAGGTACTGGCTAGTCTCGTGAATGTATGATTGTCAAAATTTGGATAGGCGTAGTTACCGGTTATAAGAAGGGGCCTGAAACTTACTCTGCTAGGGACACCTGTTAACGGTGGGAGAACTATTTAGCCATATGCAAGGACTTCGCTCGCTTTAAGCTTGGCACCTCCAGGCAAGTAGGATCCCTGACGGCCGATGTCTAACTTGTTCTTCGAGGTTCTGAAGGGATAGCATAAAAAGCGAATGGTTGGATATAAAACCATAGAACTGGCAACAAAAAGAAAATATACTTATTCAGAGTGGCTGCTCTCAATGTGTCTACTTTTACAGGGAAGAGGATGAAAGTGATGGAATTAATGAACTGAAAACGTCAAGATGTCTTTTAAATCCAAGAGATAAGATGGAAAGTGAAGGCAGCTAGAAAACTTCGTATTAATTTCAAATTTCATTATGTTGGAGGAGATGATTAGAGTAATGGAGTTGGAACCGTGATTAAGAAAGACATTAGAAAAGTAGCGGTGGAGATTATCAGAGTCATTAGCAGATCGATGACAGCAAGACTTCAAGTGAAAAAGTGTATGTTTTTGTGATATTGGGTTATGTACCATAAACAGGGGACACATGTGAGGAGAAAGATCATTTTAGAGTGGAACTCCAGAAGCTGACAAACATGGTAAGGGATGAAGAGTTTTTACTAATCCTGAGGGACAGAAATGCACATTTTGACAAGACTGAACAGGATTTGAGAAATACCTTTGGAAGTTCAGTTGTGATGTCGGCAGTAAAGAAGGAAAAGATCTCCTAAACATGTACATCAGCAATGAATGGTTGATGGCTAACACATGGTTTTGAGAAGGCATATAGCAAAAGGATACCTATAGGAGCGGTAATGTGAGATCACAGATAGATATGCTTTTAATACAGAAGCACAATGAACATTGGTGAAGGACTGTAGAGTGATTGTGAGTGAAACAGTAACTCTGAAGCACAAGCCAGCTGTAGCAACAACTGTGCTAGAAAATTAAAATAAAAATTTTTATGTTCAAATGAAACATGTATTAAAGTAAGGAAACTGAAGAGATCATGTGGAGAACAAATCGTAGAAGTTTTGGAAGGAAAAGAACCCGTTGGACTATGGAACACGGCAGAACTACCTACAAAAAGAATGAATAACTGGAAAAGAGAAGGTATGTGGAAGGGCAAAGTAAGGTAAGAGAAATAATAGGGAAAAATGGTGATAGAGCAATGTAATACAGGAAACAGTAAAACGGAAGAAATAAATAAGTAGATGTATGCAAAAGTGAAAAAAAGAGTCAAAGAAGGTGGTGAGAAACGTTATAAAAGAGATTTTAGACGTACTGTGTGAGGAGCTGGAGAGTGGTGTATTCGCAGCGAGGAAGAAAATATTTAAAATAGCTAAAAGCAGAAAGCACTCAAAAGAGCATGACATCTGTTAACAAAGGTGGAAAATTAAAAGTAACTGCAGAGGAAGTAAAGAAGAGACAGGGAGAATATTTTCAGGTACTATAGAATGAGGAAAATCTGTTTGAAACACATTTAACATACTATACACCAAATGCCAGAAGTGTTGATTGAGGAAGTGAGGAGAGCAATTGGTAAAGCAAAGGTGGGTAAGGCTGCTGGACCAAATGAGGTTACAACAAATATTTTAAAGGCATTTGGGGAAGTGGAAGTCTGCTGTGTGGCTAGAGTGATCCAAGCGGTGTAGAATGAGAGGAAGATATCAGAGGCATGAGAAGTTTTTATATTAGTGCTTATTTTCGAGAAGAAAAGCAATATCCACGAATTTGGAAATTACAGATGGACAAAATTCTTACCACACTGTATGAAAGTGATGGAGAGAATCATTGAGAAACTGTGAAGAATAGTGGAACCACAGCTAGGGTAAAATCAGTTTAGTTTCCGAAAGGGTAAAAGCACAGTTGATGCTTTATTTATGGTGAGAGAATGGAAAGGAAATTGGAGTATCAACAGGAGGGTATGTGGGCTTCCCTGGACCTTAAGAAAGCATATGACAAGGTGACTAGAAGACTGATTCCACCAGTACTGATGAGATATGGAGTATCAGAAGAAATAGTAGGTGTGATCATATCCACATATATAGTAAAACTTACAAGCATAACAATGTGTTTTAGACTATCAGATGTAATGAAATGAAGTTTGGTTTACATCAAGGTTTGGCACTTCCTGTTCATCACTATCCTGGATTACATCATTGAGCAGTTAGATATGGAAAGAGGTAAGATAAGAAACTGGTTTATGTAGATGATATAGCATAAGGAACGGACTCAGTGGATATGTTGGAGGAAATGGTTTGTAGATGGAACAAAGCACTGAGTATGCATGGAATGAAGATGAGGAGATTAAACACAGAAGTGATGGTAGTTTTGCCAGCAGTGAACTCATTTGAACTGAGGCTGGGTAGAAGAGAATAGTGAGCTAAAAAGAGAGATACAAGCCAAGTCACAAAGTGCAAGGGGGTGTTGCATAGGATTGAAGTGATAGTATTTGATAGACCAAAGAAGTTCAAGAGCCTTTCTTACAAAACCATGTTCAGGCCTGCCCTGCTATTTGGGCAGAGAATTAGGTAGTGAAGCAGTGCCATTTGATAAGGTTGTACGTGGCAGAAATGAGGTGGTGGAAATACATTACAGGTGTGACGTTGAAAGATCACAAACGAAGCACAGAAACTAGACAGGTGAAGGTTTTTAACATAAGAAAGAAGGTGCGTGAATTAAGATGAGGTTGTAGGGGCATGTGCAAAGGATGGGTGAGGATAGTTTAGTGAGATAAGCAGCAAAGAGGAAAGTGAAAGGTAGGCGGCAGAAAGGAAGACCAAGGAAGAGATGGGAGGACTGAATTAAAGAGGGTAGTAGTTAAGTAGACCTAAGTGTAGTGAGCAATAGGTTTAAATGAAGAAGAATTACGAAATGTCCATACCCCGTATGAAGGATTAAGAGAGAAGAAGAAAATGAAGCTTAGAGAGAGATAGAGAAGGCAAATAGTCAACACCACCAATCACCAACTCTTGTGCTACTGAAATCGAATAGTGGGTTGACCCTTCACATTATAACTTATCTGCGGCTGAAAGGGCGAGCATGATTGATGACTGGATTCGAATATAAGACAATAAGATTCTGAGTCGAGCTTTCTAAACCACCAGGCCATGCCAGACCGACCTTTGGGATAACTGTTCAAAATGATGAAGCCACAGTTTAGCTCTTCTTATCGAATTTACCACTGAGAGAAAATGGTGGTTCTGGAGCTGCAAATCATAAGGTCCAAGGTTCGAGCGCTCGATATGCCACTAAACACGGTCCGCACTTTTAAGCATTTTAAAAGTGACCATCACTCTCGATATTCGGTTATGAATAGCTGCTTTGGTTGATACTGTTTTCTTTTAGCATTCTCAGTTCAAAATTAGGGGCTTTGAATCTCTGACCTGGACATGTAGTCTCATTGTCTAATGTGTTGATCTGGTTGAAAATGCGACATACCAAACACGATTATAGGTGTAAAAATAATGGTCTTATTCTTCTTAATATTATATATAGTAGTAGTATTTAGTAAGTAGGTTGAATAATATGTGTGTTGGGCTAAAGATTATTTTACAGTAGGTGTCTATGACTTGTTGACAATAAATTTAAAAATAAACGAATGGCACGCACTTCCCTTGTTTTCAAAATAATATATATATATTCTAACTAGTTAAACGTATCTACAACAAATTATTTACACTATAGAGATCATAGGCATATCATAAACACTATATCTAATTCTCTTCTTCCTGTCAAAAGTCGACTTAGGCCTATTCAATTACTGTAGGATATTAGTTGACAAGCCAAACTATTTTTCTCTATTCCTATTGCATTAGTATTCTGTGTATAATTCACTTACAATTATAGCGTGAGTTACCACAGTTGTATACTGGTCTACCAGTAATCGTCTGGTCCTCGTACTTCAGATATATTTGGTTCCTTTTGTCAAAAGCTGGTTAAATTACTTTACAACTTGCTTTAACAGAATAAACTATACTTCTTATCTCTTTTAAGACTGTTGATTTCACTCTAACATATTAATCGTTATGCCTATATTAACCGTTAGGTGTTACCTCCTATGGCAGTTAACTTTACGTTTAACGTTTTTTTGGCCGAACTTCTACTTCCTGTGACTTTACTTTCTCGTCTGCTGTTCTCGCATGTCTCACACTATCTATATATTTATCATTTAATCGTTTGCTCGTATTCTATAAATCTCTATATCCTCGACATCAATAAATTTCTCGCGACGTTCGATAACCTCAACATCAATGAATTATTAACAGAACGTACGATTCTTATCGAGTTAATAATATAATATAATTAATAATATCTACACTAAACAGTCTTTCATATCATGACAGTAGGTTTATTAATGCTAGAAATAAACGGCCTTATAACACCAAAATGTTGTTTTTATTTAATTAGACACACAACTTTTTGCTTTACAGCTTTTTCGGGGAGGATTCACTAAAACACAAACCGAAACTGACAATACAAAGCTTCAAATTGTTTAAATAATATATTATATTCAAATCTATAATGTGCATTTGTACAGCGTTGTTTTGATATATTAAACAGTAAAGCTTATTGTTGAAAGAAAAGTATTCTTGAAATAATTAACTGTTACCTGTAATAAACAATAGTTCTATCAAGGTTATAGAGTGAAATAACAAAAAGATAGGTGAAAGAAATAAAATAATTAAAATCATGGGTGCCATCCTTTGTCCCTATCCATTTGTGGTCGTAGTTGCTCGATGAGAAGAGCTTCTTTGAATTTTCTGTCAGTGTACTTAGTGGCTTTGTATGGAGATTGGTGGTTTTAAGTCAGTTGTTATTTGTCCATGATTAGTTAAAGAATGATCTGCAACTGCGCTTCTTTCATGTTGTTGTTTATAAAGAGCGTCAATATATTCTCTTATCATTACAAACAAGTTGAGTGTCTTGTCTCCAATATTGTTTACCAGCTTACATGTAGTATCTGCCATCATACGTACGTAGGGGGAAGCCTACACACAAGGATAAGAGAACATACTGACGCTCTTTGTAAACAACAACATGAAAGAAGTGCAGTTGCAGATCATTTTTTAATTAATCATGGACAAATAGCAACTGACTTGAAACCAACATTCTCGGTACAAATCCTCACCAGTGACATGAATAGCTTCATTTCTTTTTTCTTTTTTCGAACTTCAATTTTGGCTATATGTATATATTTATATATAAATTGGTTTTGCAGATTTTAGCCATGAACATTTCTCAAGCAAAATTAATTGAAACGATTCAAGTAAGAGAACGAGCTGTATGTCAATGGTAATTTAGCCTCGTCGTATCTTGCTTTTGTAACATATTTCTGTATAGTTGAATCTTATTTTTCATGGTATAATTCCTTTTGCTAAGAAACATCAGCTGTATATAACAAGAAATAATGGTACATCCTAATTATGCCTCAGGTATTTTTACTTTTTCCAGTAAATTATATCAGACAATAATGAACTTAAATTGAAATCATATATACTAGTTTTTGTTCTTGTATCTTGGAGGTCATTTTGATCTACATATTTAAAACAGCATGTTACTTTTATACAAATTAGACAGTTATTATATAAGGAACTGGTTTGCAACTTTCAATATATTTACAAATCGAACAGTTTTACAAAAGGAGTAGTTGTTGCTAAATAATAAGAGTCGTTCAGTTGAAAAACTCAAAATTAAACAAAATTGTTATACACACGCAGAAATGAATAGCTTTCAGAAACCGAAAAGAAAAACACGATATGTATTAGAAAAGGTTGAAGCTGATGCACGTAATATATTAATGTTCTGTTTGAATCTTAACCAATGTTATAAAAGTCAAGGAAATAACTTAAAAGAATCTCTCATTGTAACATGATTTACTTTTTTAACGGCACTACAACACAACTAATTTCACCAAATAATTCAAAATGTGTGTTTATTATATGAAACTTGGTTGACAAGTCTCTATGTTTTTAGTAGCAATATAAAATTATATATATATATACATTATTGAGGAATTTTCATGTATTTTTATTCACAACAGTCTAAAGAAAAAACGTGAAAATACAAAATAAAACTTCAATGAACAAAAATGTCAGACATGCCTGGTTGAGATATTTTCATGGTTTGTAACAATTCAAGTCTTTTAAGCTAGTTTGGCCAGCATTATAACATAGCCATGCTAATACATTTCACAAGTACAAAAATAAATATGAAGTCCAATACATCACTCGAGTCAGCGCTTGTCACTAAATTATAACGGTTTCGAGAAACTCCACCCCTTATCAGTAACCACAGACAAGGGCAAATCGAAAGAACAATACTTCTTATATAACGTTTCACAATAGTTGTATAAGCAGAATGCCTTGTACTGGACGCTAAGTTACATGTAAAGTTTATTAAATTTATACTGATTTTGCTTGCCTGAGAATTGTTTTTGACAGATAGAACAATCTGAAAAACTAGTGACTAAAAGAAATACCCCCCCCCCCCGTTACTCACTTTTACAAAGTGACACTTCACATATGTACAATTTGCAGACTACAATCGTATTTACAAATGACTGGAGGGTTCAAGGTCACATACATGCTACTAACGCACGTGACAAAGTCACACTAACACCAAAGACTTGTCCCGCGGCAAGGCACAGACGTTGAATGGTTTGGCCGTCAGCGATATGAAGACTTTACCTTCGACGCTAGGTAGCTCTTCCCCTTCAGGAACTCCCAAATGAAACCGGTGCAGAAGTCCAGTTATAAAAAGAAACAATTCCATTTTTGTAAGAACATCTCCAAGGCACACTCTCCTACCTGCAAAAGAAATATAGATTTCGAATTTTCGAATTGAAACTTTGTTGTTTTAAACAAGAACGAATGATCTGTCTTGTAAGGTAACTGGCAGAAAAAATTAATCAAAATATTTCGTAAAATACTAGTTTTGGTTATTATGAATATACTTCTTGTAAATAAGAGGTGATGAAAGTGTTATTAGCTAGAAAAATCAGGTGAGTACAATTTGGGAAAGAGAGTAGACCTGGTATGGCTAGGTGCAGGTCACGAGTTCGAATCCCATCACCAAACATACTTGCCCTTTTCAGCAGTGGGGATGTTATAATGTGACGGTCAATTCCGCTTTTCGTTAGTAAAAAAGTAGCCCACAAGTTGGCAGTGGGTACTTTTGAATAGCCTATCACTTCTAAGTTGAGAACGGCTAGCGCAGATAACTCTCCTGTGGGTTTGCGTGAAACTCTTAAAAACAAACTAACAAACGGGGAGTATATCATACTTTCCCATGATCCTTGTGTATACGAAAAGAATCAGGTATATATATCGAAAGGTATTTAAAAATCCTTGTGTGATACGAAAAGAATCAGGTATATATATATCGAAAGGTATTTAAAAATCCTTGTGTGATACGAAAAGATACCTGATTATATATCGAAAGGTATTTAAAAATCCTTGAGTTATACGAACAGAATCAGGTGTATAACGAAAGGTATTTAAAAAATCTGGAATTTTGACAAGGCTGTTGATTCGTTTATGTGCCGGAATTACATGGAGTTGAACCAATGCAATTGCATAGGGGCCTCTATCCCCAAAGAAAGGGGCCTGAATTCTGAATTACCATTCTGATTAAAAAAATGTGTCTTCACCTCACCCCCCAAATAATGATACATTTTACTTGAACGCTGTAAGTATATTTTGTGTTAATAAGTTTCTGAAATCTGGAACATTCGTGGAACAATTTGAGAAGATTTGATTTCCAACTGATAATGTTTAAATATATCCGTACATTTACACACGAAGGTTAGTATATCTAAAATATAATATCCATTACGTAAATCAGTTTATCATTCTCCGTTTTGATTTGAATCATTTTGGTTTCTATATACTTATCGGTCAACAACACAAAAGTTATTTGCTGAATTTCTCATACATACATATCAATTAAACGCAATTTTGATATTCTGTTCTGAAGAAACCAGTTTATGTTCATACAATACCTGTATATTTATACTAAAACGCAATGATAGCTGACATAAAATTAAATAATTATGATACAGAATTGAGGTCCACAGTTTAACCAATTTCTCAGCGTTTGGGGAAGAAATATTGTTAATGGATACGAAAAATAGTTTTTTATTTTCAAATAGGATTTTATGTTGTAAGTCACTGCAATCTCCAAGATAAAAACTCTTTCAATAAAAATATTTATTAATTCTAAAAATGCCCATTTAATTTCGTCAATTTGTGTATTGCGTATCAACTATATGTGTCATGATTAGCTTTTGTTCGATATTAAAGTTATTGTTACTTCCGCTTAAACTGACCGTCATTGCTTGCACACACCACAAATATTCCAAACTATTATCAGAAACATACTTCATACTGATTAAATAAGAAAAGAAAACAACAAAGTTCCAGATGCTGTTATGATAAGCTAATTTTCCTTAATTAAATACTTGTTTTTCTAATCACGGTAAGAAGTATCGTGCGCCCGGCATGGCCAGGTGGTTAGGGCACTCGATTCGTAATCTGCGGTTCGCGGGTTCGAATCCCCGTCCCACCAAACATGCTCGCCCTTTCCGCCGTGGGGGCGTTATAATGTGACGGTCAATCCCACTATTCGTTGGTAAAAGAGTAGCGCAAGAGTTGGCGGTGGGTGGTGATGACTAGCTGCCTTCCCTCTAGTTTTACACTGCTAAATTAGGGACGGCTAGCGCAGATAGCCCTCGTGTAGCTTTGCGCGAAATTCAAAACAAACAAGAAGTATCGTTCTGTAAACTAAAGCGGAAGTTTTAATATCCTAGCTTATGTACTTACTCTATTATACGTCTCTGTATTAAAGCTACATTTTGGTTTACAACAGATGATTATAAAAATTTAAAGTTTAAATTGAAATGTACACTCTTGACACTTAATAGTTTTAACAATTATTAACCCAAACGGATTATTAGTACATAAGTGCAAAGTGGAGTTCCACTTCTTCACACCAAACAGCATTAACAATTTTTAACTTAAACGGATTATTAGTACATGAATGGTGCTATTACTGCAAAGTGGAGTTCCACTTCTTTACACCAAACAGCATTAACAATTGTTAACCTAAACGGATTATTAGTACATGAATGGTGCTATTACTGCAAAGTGGAGTTGCACTTCACACCAAACAGCATTAACAATTGTTAACTTAAACGGATTATTAGTACATGAGTGATGCTATTACTGCAAAGTGGAGTTCCACTTCACACCAAACAGCATTAACAATTGTTAACCTAAACGACTTATTAGTAGTCTTGTGGTACAAAGCTAATGGCTCATTTCCTCTGTTTTCTACTCTTAGCTGTAAAATACACATACTCATCTGTCTGTAGGTTTGTATGTTCTTGTACTTATTACATGTATATATTGTCTGTTACACGATCATGGTATGTATATATTTGGAAATTCAAAATTAAACTCACCGACGGAGAATGGCATGAAAAAGTTCGGTTTCGATATTTTCCCGTCCAATAGGAACCTTTCTGGTTTGAAAGCCTCAGGACTGGACCAAAGTTCAGGATCCATGTGTATGGCCCATAGATTAGGTAGCACATGAGTGTCTTTAGGAATGTGGTAACCTGCGAGCTCTGTGTCCCTGTAGAATAAATAAAGAAACACATCCTGGTCGATAAGTAACCTCAAGATTGTGGTTTTACTTCTGAACAGCAGTATATCTGAAGGAGTGTTCTTTGTATTATCACTTTGTTGTGATCTACGACCAATTAATAATCGATTTTTAAAATAGAAAATAAAAATAACGAATTTATTCATGTTCATATATACACCCATTCGTAAACTCTAGCATCCTAGTATGTATATATATAAATATAAAGCTTTAGCCAGACAATTACTGCAATATTTAAACTTACTCGAGTGTAGCATGTGCATTTCCCAACGCGATAACGTTCGCCCGTCTCAGCACCTCCAAAATTGTAGCTTCTGTGTACGGAAGGTCTCTTTGATCGGATAAGGTGGGAAGACGATGACGTCCTACGACAGCGTCCAGTTCTCCTTGTACACGTTTTTGAACTTCGGGGTTCCTAACGAGGAATAAAATCGCCCATTCAAGTGTTGACGTCACGGTTTCCAGCCCGGCACTAAAGATGTCTCCCATTACTTGTAATAGTTGCATTTCTGAAGTAATACATAAAACAAACTACTTGTCAAACATAGAAAAATAAAAACATTTGTAGGGAAACCAAGACACGTGATAGTTAGGAGAAAAAACAGAAGAAGCGTAAATATTTCTCAAACAAAAACATTGGTCATCCATATATAAACTGTTTTGGCAATAAAAATTAGTAATACAAGTTGATAAAATTTTGTTAAAGCAATAACGTGAAAAGCTGACAAAACTTAATTGTTAATAAAACTGGTGAAAGCAGTATTAATAAAAATCTATGTGATAAAAAGAAGTGCAAGGAAGGTTTCATATTATGTATTCAAAATGATAACTTCTTCCAAATATACACATGTGCTAGAGTTTATCTAGTATGATAATCTTGAATAACACATGTGCTAGAGTTTATCTAGTATGATAATCTTGAATAACACATGTGCTAAAGTTTATCTAGTATGATAACCTTGAATAACAATTTCCTTGGCTTTTTGAATGGTTTCATCAGAGTAGGTGACTGAAGTTTCTGAATTATTCAGAAATAAGCTAGAAATAACGTCTCAATACATACCAATTTATAGAAAGCTTTCAGTTTCTCTTTTTTTGTTTAATCATAACTTTTAAAATATGCTATTTATTGAACTTATTCAGTCGGAACTACAACATTATCGTTTAATGATAAAAACATTATCTATGTTCTTATTCGAATATCTTTATTTTAAATATATATAAACAAAAAAGAAGAAATATCACAGGACTATGCATGAAAGTGTTATCTTATTATTATTTCAAGTTGGAGCTTATATTAACCCTTATTGTACCTCTTTCAAATATTTCCAAACTTGGTATTAAAAGGAGATTCATGAAGATCACTTTAGTTACTTAGACCTGTAACTTAAAAAATGAATTAAAGTTTCAATGAAACTAACCTGAAAAAAACGACTCTTTGTTTTCATCTTGACTTTCTTGAAGCTGAACCAAGTAGGCGTCCACGAAGTCTCGCAGTTTACTGGGGTCTAAAGTACGCTTGTGTTCCTCTGCTACTTCTTGAAAATACGCCGCACTCTCTTGGCGATTCTCTTTAATTTTATGGTAAGCATAGTTTCCACCTGGTGCGTATCGTAACATTGGAATAAAATTTACGGGAACGGCTAAAGTAAGCAAACGAAATCCTTCTTCTATAAGCTCCAACAAACGAGTGAATCGAGGATCTTCTTTTGAATAGGTGACGCTCATAAGAAGAGAGCCTACAACGTTACTTACAGCACGGGCGATCGCCGGACGTAAACTACAAGGAGCTCCATCTAGATCGGAAATTCCTGACAAAAATTCCTTGACTTGTTCCTGGAAAAAAATAATAACAGGAAATACATTGTCAGCTCTTAAAACAAAGACAATGTTAAAGAAGATTTTTACTCGAGCCTAGTAACCAGTTTTTGGTCGTTTAAAGATAGGAATAAATTAAAGGTTTCATAACTGTTTTGTTTATATCATAACTGACACTGACGTCAGAGTGAAATAACTTATTTTTATATGTCGAAGCTACAAGTTATATAATTTTCTTTCAATTTGCAACCACATCCTTCAAGCTCCCTTTCGGTTACTAATGATTACTCAGTGAATAATTAACATACCTTCACTTTATTCTCAAGAGCAACTTTTCCTGGTCCTATATTTTTCGCGCCAAACTGTCGCATAACACAATGTACAAATGCTCGCTGTTCCCGCCATAGAGCACCAGAAGAGTTAATAATGCCTGTAAAATAAGGAAAAGAGAGAAATTAATATATTCCTTTAAAACGCATAAATGGATGGAACGAATACACATTCTCCGAACAACACTGGTCTTAAATGAATCCGGATCATTTTTCTATTTTTGATAAGGAAAAAAAAAGTTTTAACTTTAACAGAACATGGTAAGTAGGTATTATTGGAGGTAGAGTAACAGTATTTAAAGATTTGTCTGCTTAACATGTAAATACTACAAAAAAGCAGCATTTACAGGGATCCTATCACATTTGGGACGAAGTAAAAATTACGTTAAATTATCATTAGTGTGGCAATCTTTCGTTTGTTAAGAACTTCAACTGCAGCCTCGCTTGATTATAAAGATATATTTTACTGTATTACATAAAAACGATAAAGGTGAAATACTGGCCATAAAGAACATTTACAGTTTAACAACTATTACTGTTTCAAGATAATTCAGTGATTTCAGTGTAGTAATTATTTATAAATTCTCAAATATCAACATTTTTGTAAATGAAGAGTTGTGGTTTAGATAAGTAGACAGCCAAGTAACTTAGTGTCTGTTTTTATTTCTTCTTTGTTGTTATTTTACCTCGGTACTCTGTGTTCGCGTACCCTAACACTATTTTTATTTTTTTTGCACGCTCTTTGAAAGTTTGCATATAATAACAGTTTTTATTCGATCGAATTATAACAAGAGATGTGTTTCATAATAAGGTATGTTTTTATAACACTGTTATTTTATAAATGTACGTTAACGAGTTTTCCATTTTATAAGCTTTATAAATTACTTTCCCCAGCAAATAAGTTTTAAAGATCCCAAATACTGTATTTTAATCTGTCCTTATTACCTAGAGTTAAAATGCTATTTATGAAAAACGAAAAGTAGTAACCCTCTATCTATTGTAAATATGCGATAGAATGCGTAAAGCTGATATAAATAGGTAATTTTCAGGCTATATCTCAGTATACTGTTAGCTGAAGTCAACTCAAGTAAAGTAACCACAGTTTAGAAGTTGTTAATAATAAAATAAGGATTTAGCAATATCCAAAGTCATCCAAGACACCTAATTAAACTAATAAAATAATATATTTTATAACTAACCCCTTTAGAATCATTCAAAACATTTTAATTAGAAATGAATAATGATCTAAGTTTATGTCCGTAGGTAAAATCAATCAATTAACATCAAGTGAAGCAGCGTGTGCTCAAGAATAATGAACTGAAACTGTCTAAGATTATTCGTAATAAAATATTCAACAATTATGTAAGTTATTTCAGGGAAATGAGAACAAGTATGTATTATAAAACTATGTTCAATCAAACCTGTAATCAGGTAATAATCCTTTGTTAATAAAAATACATAACGGATCAATATTAAGACATAATATTAAGATTAAATATCTAAAAAAATTATGTGACTTAGTAGAACAACAAAACTTCAAAACTGTATAGACTTTGATTCGATGCATTGTATCAATTATTTTTTCTTTTTGCTTTAAGCTTTACAGTGTTAAAAAAGGCACCAAAATTATTGATTACAGTTTATATATACTTAGAGAAACTGTTTAAGTTGATTAAATATTCTAATCTTTTGTATACAATAATTGGCTTGAGGTTATTAAACTCTGAGCCATATGACAAGCTCTTTTCGTTCTGTTTCAGTTCCGTGTTTCAAAAGTAGCTTGGTCGGTCAGCTTGGTAAACCCAGCCGTTCGTTTAGTTAAAGGTCAGTTAGAAAGTCAAGGACAACCACATGTTTCTTGTCTCTTGTTCAATTTTCCTTTCCAGGTGATCATTAGATAATTATGCCCCAGCTTTAACACTCATCCCTCTTCTGTATAACTAAAGTAAACATCCTTTAGTTAATCTATAGAAAGCAGTGAGCGCGTATTTAACGAAGCTTGTATTATACTAACCACGGAGTCATACAATGCACAGACACTGGGGGAAATAGTTCACCATAAAACAAATGTCTAGATAAAACTGAACAGAAATTATGTTCAACTAGAAGTCGGGGGCAAAGAAAATATTCTTTTGGTTAAAGATAAAATAAAAATTCATTTGCTTTCATCCAAGAACGGATACATTGCATGAACTCTGATATTATTCTATTAATGCCAACTCACAAATAGACTTGACAATATACAACGAGATATTCTGAAGTTGTGATGTAAAATATAAAATAGACTTGACAATATACAACGAGATATTCTGAAGTTGCGATGTAAAATATAAAATAGACTTGACAATATACAACGAGATATTCTGAAGTTGCGATGTAAAATATAAAATAGACTTGACAATGTACAACGAGATATTCTGAAGTTGCGATGTAAAATATAAAATAAGACTTGACAATGTACAACGAGATATTCTGAAGTTGTGATGTAAAATATAAAATAGACTTGACAATATACAACGAGATATTCTGAAGTTACGATGTAAAATATAAAATAGACTTGACAATATACAACGAGATATTCTGAAGTTGCGATGTAAAATATAAAATAGACTTGACAATATACAACGAGATATTTTGAAGTTGCGATGTAAAATATAAAATAGACTTGACAATATACAACGAGATATTTTGAAGTTACGATGTAAAATATAAAATAGACTTGACAATGTACAACGAGATATTCTGAAGTTGCGATGTAAAATATAAAATAGACTTGACAATATACAACGAGATATTTTGAAGATATGGTATAAATTATGAAGTAGACTTGAATTCTCAGAAATTATTTGTTTTGTAAGATCACTCTGTTTTTAAACATAATATTTGACACCGTTTTTCAAGAAATAGAAACGTTAGGTTCAGTTAATAAGGAAGGATTAAATTATTTGTATATTTGTTTCTTAAAGTATTACATTTAGTACAGAGTGAAACGAGCTATACTTGTCTTTTACACACAAAAACGGAAATTTTCCATTGTTCTATTTCAACTGATTTATTAAATGGCATAGTACACTTTTTATGACTCGTTACTTATTTCTAATCGTTAAAATTCCTTGAGATAATCGTATCAAAGTCAGCTTGCTGTGATAACAATACGAGGGCGAGTTGGAACTTTTAATGAACATTAGTAACAAAGCCAGAATACATATAAATACGAATTTCTCAAATTTTTCATACATTTCGGAAAGGCTGGGTTTGAATTGAAAACACTCATAATATAAAACTTGTTTACATTTTCATTTTTAGTAGTTGAACAATACACTCACCGTAGCCTTGCAGTAGTTTCGTAAGTTCCGTGTCCGGGCGACCGGAAAATACATGTTGACGGAAAGCTTGTCGGACTATGTGGGGATCATTGAGAACAACGACTCGTTTGCCGCCTAAAAATATTTGATAAATAGGTCCGTAATTTCGGGCCAGTGATGTTAGGGTCAAGTGGAAATCTCTACCTAGAAAAGGGAGAAATCCAAACAGTGGAAGTCCACGTGGTCCAGGAGGCAGCGGCAATCGGCTGCCACTGCGACAGAAGAACAAAAGTCTTGTGATAAGGAGAACCATAAGAAAAATAAGGACCAAAGTCAGCGTAGGCGGAAGATACCAACGGAGGGACCGCAAAAGGAGAAAACTATAGTGAATCAAAAGACTCATGCTAGAAGTTCTGAAGCGATAAAGTTGCCGTACTACAGTGTGATGAGGCAAAGGGAAGACTAAATATCGTGGGATTAGCAGCCGTTTATTGGTCTCGCACTCGATGGAATAGAAAGGCCTTACTCGCGCTGCTTTTATAGGGTTAGTCGAAGGTTAAGCCTTTAGCAATAGGCAATGCCCCGAGGTGTCCAAGAGACAGTAGTGTTTACCTGGGACCAGGCTTGTCCTCAAATCGGGCGGTGGGTGGGCTCTACCCCGAGGCAACCAAGTAGAAGTAAGCCAACTCAATCACTGGGCCATTCTCTATAGGTGACGATGAAATTCTCGTTGAAAGAAAAATAATTAGATTAATTAAAAACTCAAACATAGATAACAATTATCAATGTGATGGCAGTGTGACAAATAATGGAACAGATGACACCCTGTGAAAGTTCTGAGCTCCCTAACTTCCTTGTGTTATGGACAAATACTAATAGAAGAGACGGAAGACTACTTCCCACACCAGAGGTCATTCACCCCTAATAGGCGAACGAAACACCTTCCTAGGGAACGCCGTTTTGTAGATGGGGTTGTTTTGATGAATGATAAAAAGCAGCGACCAAAGCTACTATTATTTACTGTGTAGTTTATTTTCGTAAACATAACTTTTACAGAATAATAGGTGCTTTGTATTTCAAAGAAAAGCTACTATTATTGACTGTATTGTTTATACAGTTATAAGGATAACTTTCACAGAGAAGCAGGTGTTTCGTATTGCAAAGACGTAATTATGATTTCTAGTGCACTGATATTAATATGGAAAGTATACACAATTCAGACAAAAACTTTAACTGAAACAAATATGTACTGTTACACCATCTGTAAGTGTTCTAAAGTTTTTGCAGCGTTCTTGACAAGGCATAAGTAGATCAATATTCTGATAATAGTTATTTTGCATAAGATACAAGTATAAACTTTGACCTAAATGTTTAACGTTTTACTCTTTCAACAGCTAGTAAGTATAACAGCAACATCAGACTTTCACCTACTATCAATTCTAAACAACTCTTAAGTAGCTACTGAGGAGTATTCACTGCTTCCGATATGTTTTATTTCTTGTAAACAAACAATTGTATTCCTTTTCACTAGTTTACTTAATTACTTTCTTAATCGAGAGAGAATTATTCTAAAATTGGCTGGAATGTAATAGTAATGCACTTGGACTAACTTACTTTTTGCTCATTCTAATCGAGACTGAAATCACTTACGATTTAGTAAGACACATTCAGATATTGATTCGAGTGGATGATTTCAGATTGTGGTTTGTTTGTCGAATTTTGCTCATTCTAATCGAGACTGAAATCACTTACGAGTTAGTAAGATACATTCAGATATTGATTCGAGTGGATGATTTCAGATTGTGGTTTGTTTGTCGAATTTTGCTCATTCTAATCGAGACTGAAATCACTTACGAGTTAGTAAGATACATTCAGATATTGATTCAAGTGGATGATTTCAGATTGTAGTTTGTTTGTCGAATTTTGCGAAATGCTACTCGAGGGACATTTGCATTAGCCGTTGTTAATTTTTAAGTGATAGACTATAGGGAAGACAGCTAGTTAACACCACCCACCGGCAACTTTTGGACTACTCTTTAACAACGAATAATGGGACTAGCCGTCACATTATAACGTTCTCACTGCTGAAAGAACGAGCACCCTAACAATCAGACCATGACAAGTTCCAGATTATTGGATTTTTGCTGAAGACTTTTAGTTACTAAAGGCTAAGAAACTTATATGAACCACAAACACACGTAGAGGAAACATTTGTCACATTTTTAATTCTAGTAAACATTCATGCTTTTATTTTAGCAAAGCAAGTAAATTTTTCACGCTTATTATTAGACTTTTCATCGCTTCACAAATGGTTTTTAGCGCCAATGAAACCCTTAAATAGTTATTCGTATAACCGGTTATTCCACACAAAAATGATTAACTCTTGTAGTTCACGACATTCACAAAATGTTAATCATCTTGATAAACTCTCTCACTATTTGATAATCACTGTCGTACACAGTAGTAAGAAAATGTTAACTATTGTTGGCAAACCTTTTCATCAATAGTATTGTTTGGAGTTTACATACTGATTCAGTATTATTTTAATACAAGTTACAGTAAAGAAGATTTGTTTTTAGAACAAGTACGATGTTTCGATCATTGGTGCGATCATTCTCATGTACTTCTAAAAACAAATTTTCCTTACTGTAAAAGTTGTAATAAAATAAAAACTTTTTTGTTGTTCGTCTTGCTTGTAATGTCTTATGTACATAGTATTAAAAAAATTGCACTTGTCATAAGACATTGATATTAGGTCTATTGTTGATAAACTCTTTCAATGTTTGAAAACCTTGGTTTTTTTAAATAATTTCGCACACAATATTAAGAAAATGTTAACTGTTGTTGTAAAAGTCTTCCATTATTTGATAATCCTGACATTGTAATAACATTGTATAGATTAGAAGGTTAGAAATAGACGCTTTTCTTTTTAGTTTATCTGTCATGTCTTTATAAAAATGATTTTAGTAAACTTTAACTTAAAAGTTCAATAACAACAACTTTACAGCAGATAAGTCCTGATTTTAATGGTTACAACGTTTCAACCCATAGTCGGTATTATGGGTCAAAACATTGTAATAATTAAAATCAAAACTTGCCTACTGTAAAAGTTGTTGTTATTACACTTGTAATTTAAAAAATCGGGCCAGTAAGTTTCTCACTAAATAACTCCTTTAATAACTATTAACTTATTTTCCGTAATTTTACCAAAACTTAACTACTGTAAAAGTTGTTATTACACTTGTAATTTAAAAATTCAGGCCAGTAAGTTTCTCACTAAATAACTCCTTTAATAACCATTAACTTATTTTCCGTAATTTTACCAAAACTTGTCTTAAGATTTTTTTCATAAATTTCTCGACAAACAGTATTAAACCTAAGAAAAGTTTTTACACAATTCTTACGATCTTGTTAGCGTTGGAAAATGTTATTTATTAAATAAATTTTTTGCTATTTTTTAAACAAAATTTCAATTAAAGTTCACAATAAATGACAAACTTTGTTTATCTCTTGAATACTATTTACTGAAGCCTCAGTACTTTCTGGAGAAGGTTTCGTAAGAGATCTTCCCTGAGTTTTTGATTTTAAATAAATATATATAAGTTGATTCCTCACAACATCCGATACAGTTACAGTAACATTGATTAGTTCATTAATTGTTGACTATATTGCCAGATAAATAGAAAAATATATCACGTCGTTTAGAGCTATACCATAACAACGACTGCTGCTCTGCTGTACTGTGAGCGGTCATTGACCCTAAACATATTAGCCCCAGAACACAAATGTGTGTCGCTCTCGTTACTCTACACTCTCTACTTACCTTTTACAACGAGGTTCACAATTCAGCCACGGGACCACTGCGCTCGCTGTACCGCTGAACTTCTCACTGTTTCCGTTGTCTTCCTGTATCTTTGCGAATTGTCGAACACGTGCATATTTACAGTAATGTTTGCTACAACTTTAGGCAGAACGAGCACCACTGCAATTGTTCTGTATTGAATTGACCTCAAAACAGTTGTCATCGCGCATATAAAATAAACATTACATAAAAACAAGTAAACTGGAGGCACAGAATGATACCGTATTTTTCGGTGTATAAGACGCACTTTTTTACGCCAAAATTTGATGTCAAAATCTGC